CAAGTGGCCCAGAGGATGAAATTCTGATCATTTCGGGCAGCCTAATAATCCTAGAGCATGCGGGCCCATACTTAGCACAAATCATTTGTTTCTTGGCACTTTCTTGTTATTCTCTGGTAAGAATATCTGCTTTAGTTTCTCCTTTGATGTTTTAAAATAAGCATGGTTCATAATCAGAAGTGGAAAGTGATGGGAAATGAAGCTTTTGAAGTGGATGCAACTTCTTCCTAATTGCTCACTCACTCACTCACTCATTCACTCACTGACCATCTCAACTTTGATCTTCCATTTTAACTAGTTTTACAGGCAATCCTCGTTTAGCAAGCAAACAATTGGGACCAGCAACTTGCTCATTTGAGTGAAACGGCTGCTTAATGAATCCGAAATATGTTTACACCCTCGCTTCAATTTTCCTTTGCTTTATATATCTGCAAAGTTTGGTCCCAGAGTTTCTTTTTCATCAATACCACTGTTAAATGAGGTAATGGCTAAACAAGGACTTAACAGTATTTACCTCCCTCTTGCTTCCTAAAACTGGTTTCTTCTGGCTCCAAATAATCCACCTGCAACTTCATTTTCCCCCTTCAGCACGCGCAGAACCCCCACAGCCCACTCGCACCCCGCATAAGGCCTTTCTTTTTCCTTGTTGCAGTAGGAGGGGGAAGGGATAATTTCAAAATGGATACATATTCAGAGATATGAAAATATAATAACACACACATGCCCTATCGCAAGTTGTTTTACATGGAATTGGGCCTGAATAACACGTACTGTTCATAGAAGAAATATCTGGCAAGGGCATAGGTCTCCATTTCAAATAGCTCCACTAGACAGCTACAAATTTCTGCTTAAAATTGTTACTCTTTTGCTTCATCAGTACACCTAACCTTTTGCATAGGAGAACAGATCTCTATTCAGATCAGCTTACGATTTGCAGGGAGGTCCAAATATGCAGAAGGGAGGCAAGGTTGTTTGTGTCCGTTTTTGTTGTAAGTGTGCCTTAAATAATGAGAGATTTCACACACATACTGCCAATACATTAATTGTTTTCTGAAGGTCAGTTTTCTATTCTCTTTTTTTAAAAAAAAAGTTAAAGACTTGTTTTACCTGACATATCAATATTCTTTCCCTCCTTCCCTCTCACCTTCCTACCTTTCATAGTGAAGTGAGATTTGAACTCAGCTCCTCCAAGTTGTATTCCCTAGCCTCGGTCCAAGCTGGCATTCAAACTCATTCCGCCACAGGATCATATTTGAATGGCCTTTTGACAGTAATTCAAGACAGTGTGTGACTCTGAATGAATTGTACATATATAGTGAATAGATGTTTAAACTGTGGATGTTTTAGAGCCAGCTAAAACAGCTGCAATGCTCATGGGAGATTTAACATGATGTGTGTGTGCTTGTGCGTATTTCATAGCTAAGTTATTAGGAGAATGGAGTGAACAGTTATATCTTTTCCCCAAATATTTTCTAGTGCAGAGTCCAATTCATTTACACCTTTCCTTCCAATACTATAATGCCCTCTTCTTGTATTATTCTTGTATTCTTCATCTAAGAAAGATTTCTAAATATAATAACTGGGGATTCCACATTTCCATATGTACAGTCTGGTTCCAACTTATTTGATATGTGCCTCTTTCCCTCCTTATGTGTACAATTCAGAATCTCTACTGTACATTATTTTTCCCTGAGATCTTGTTACTCTTTAGGAGATGCCAATTTCCCTAGTTAATAAACAGCAATGTATCAAGGGAAGGCCCTGCAGTATCTCATAGCAAATATACATCTCCAGGGTTCAGTGTTGGCTAGAACATTGAATGATGTGTTGTTTTGCAAAGCAAACAGTGTTGAAAGAGCACTATAAAGATTTTGGGAGTTTTTAGTGTTATTAATGCAACTTTCTGTTTAGATTAATTATTGGATATTACATAAGCCACCTTGAACTTCGTTGAAGAAAATATACATACTGCTAGCAAATGAATAAAGAAAAACTTCTTAAGTAACAATCTGAATTATTCCCAAATATGCTTCCTTCACTAGGAAAAACCCAAAAATTCTTTGCTGCCATCTAATGGTTGCCTTGATTTGTGCACCTCAAATCCAGTAGAACTACAGCTACATCTCTTCCTTTTCAGTCTCTTCAAATGTTTTCCCTGGTGGATTGTGGCAAAGCTGTTTATGTGACCACAAATCAGTGGTGAAATTATTATTATTTTAATATCGGTTCTGTGGGCGTGGCAGGGGAAAGATACTTCAAAATCTTCATTCCCATGTCATTCTGGCGCCAGCCAAAGGTGGTATTTGCCGATTTTCCAAACTATTCAAAATTTCCGCTACCGGTTCTGCAGAACCAGTCAGAACCTGCTGAATTTCACCCCTGCCTCACATCTCTCTCTTTTTTTTTCTTGGTCTCAATTTTCCACCATTTTGAACTGTGGACACAGGACTTTTGCACAGCACCTTTGCAGAATAAGGTCTACGAAGGTCTGATTTCAATGTTAATGAGAAAAACCCAAACCTCGCTCTTTTGCTGAGCATCAGAAAAAAGAAATCCCAGCTTTGCCCAAATATGTGATGCAGCCTGGCTCCATTACTTATCTACTGTGCCTGCATTCCCTCTCCCCAAATAATAAGTGAGCCTCAGCGTTAACTCTGACCTAAGTGATTTGTAAATACATACATCAATACCTAGCACAGAAAACAGACAACATGCAGTTCCTTTTTTAAAAAAATAATCAAGCACTATAAGTTATTCTTTCCCAGATCCATTACATGCAGGTGTGAAGCTTCACTGCCATTTTCTAATTCTATCTTATAGAGCTGATGCAGTGAGTTTTTTTCCCCCCTAAAAAAATGGTATTTGGGGCATGCCTTACATAATTATGCAGAAAGGCTCAGAAGGACCTTTGTGCCCAGCTTTGAGGGTGATACTCAATTCTGGGCAACTTTTCCAAGCACATTTCCCATCAGGTTGCCAGCACACTGCATTCTCTGATTGTCCTGTGCCGAGACCTGTTGCTTAGCAACAATCAGTACATTCATCTTTAATAAATTGCTGGCACCATGATGGCCAAGACTGTAGGGAGGGGGAGAGTGGAGAGTTTGATTTGGGTGACTTTTATTTTATTTTTTTAAGGGAACACCATGTGGTTTGCAAAAATGAAAGGGGAAGGAAAGATTAAAACATTTTAAAAATGCAATCTGTTGACACGGACTAGCCCAGATTGAGTCAGCCCATAGATAAGAATAGGCTCTCCCTAGCTACATGAAAATAGCTACTCAGGAACATGTGATATGTGAATTGTTCCTATGTATAAAAGGTGGGTTGAGGTGTGGTGCTCCAGACTGCACTTCACATTTGGAATTAGAACTGCCAAGAAAGTGTTGTGGTGGGTTCTGGCCAAACAACCACCTCAATTAGCAGAAAGCCAATATTAAAAGACCAAAATAGTATTCACTGGCAAATATACCTGCTTCAACAGCTCAGTCCAGAGAATATGATAAAGCCTATATGGAGGAAATGTTGAATGAGATAACCGTAGAATCAAAGCTGGAAGAGATCATGTGCATTCCAAACCTGGGTAAATTACTCAAAGTTGGATAAAAGTGGTTTTTCTTTGGGTAATGATATCCAACCAATTATCCATCACAACAGGGACATTTAAATTGACTTAAAGATTGCCACGTGAACTAAAATATATTCAAAAATACCCCAAATATACCTATTGTTAAAAATTGGTGAAAATACCAATGGAAATTTGTTGAAATGATAGTAAAGATTTATTCACTGATACTGTTTTTATAATACAAGTAATCTTTCAGTTTGACCATTTGTTCAATGACCATTCAAAGATATGACATTATTGAAAGAAGGGACTTAAGACTGATCCTCAAAGTTTGGTAAGACTTTCATTTGGATAATGAAGGAAAAATGCAAGGAAGCATTGGTTTAGGCCATCAAACTTTCTGGCCAGTGCAAGAATCCAGATGAAAGCACCCCTACAGTGCTTTCAGTGTCTCCCAATTATTTCCAGGGAAGGGAAATTCATTACTTCCTTTGGTCCCCTTGTTGCATTTCTCGTACCATATTGAACCTGCCTTCTATAACTTAAGAACATTATTCCATATTCTGCAGTCTGGGACATTAGAGAATAGGATATATTCTTTTCTGTGGCACCCCTTTAAGGTCTTGAATCCATCCATCCATCCATCCAACTTGTTTTGTACAATGCTCCCGCATCCTACTTTCTCACAACAACAATGTGGTGAGGTGGGGTGCGCTAAGAGACTGGCCCAAAGTTAACATAGCTCTTTTCCATCTTTCCAGCCCTCATTTTTTCTTCAAGACTAAATATGCCTATTTCATCAGTCTGTGCCAATAAGACTTATTTTCTACCATGTTTTCCCAAAAATAAGACAGGTCTTATTTTCTTTTGACCCCCCCCCCAAAATAAGCGCTTGGCCTTATTTTTGGGGAGGTCTTATTATTTTTGAGGTGCAGGAGGGAATGAGTGTGGCTGCTGCTGTGTTGCAATATTTTGAGGGAGGGCTTATTTTCAGGGGAGGGCTTATTTTAACACATTCACTTAGAAGCCCAATTGAGCTTATTATCTGGGGAGGTCTTATTTTCAGGGAAACAGGGTACTTCTTTGATTATTTTCACTGCCCATCTCTGTATCTCTGCAGTTTCTTTGAATATATTTTTAAAAATTGTGCCCAGAATCATATTTAATACTTATGTTGGGTTCTGACCAATAATAAATATATAATAGAAATATTTCATTCCACGATTTAAAAGTTATGCTTCTTATGATGTAATCTAAAATTTTGCTTGCATTTTAATCAGAAATAGGAGGAGGGGTATGCATTAAGTGTGTTTGATGCTTTGAATTATTTCTAAAAAATAATAAAGGCAGGATAAAAATAAATATAGTATCACATAATGCTCTTATTTAGCCCACTACATAGGCAATCATGTTTTTTCTTTATCTTATATAGTTGAATCTTGCTGCTATTACTCAGACGCCTCCTTTTCAGGAAAGAACAGAAAGAAGTTCATGCAAATCATCATCCATTTTAGATTTGAAGGCTGCCAATTTGGAAGAAGAAACATCAACTCAACTTGACTTCTCCATAACACTGGCATCTGCATGTGAACATTTTGGTGTCTATTTTTATAATAAGGCAAACCAAAAAAAAGCAATTTTTTTGAAAATAGAAACTCTTATTATAGAAAGATTGAACGCTAATTGCTGAGAACAACAGTTTAATTTTGAGCAAACTCTGATCTTGACATCCTATCTTTTTAACTCTTGATTGTACTTTGGATTGTTCTCTTGAATTTGTATTTTTTTCCCCACCTTAATGGCACTAATCCTGCTTAGCTCTTTAAATTCACATTTGGCTGCTAATATTTCCTAGATCAGTGATGGCAAACCTATGGCACGCATGCCACAGGTGGCACACAGAGCCCTCTCTGCGGGCACGCGAGCAGTCAGCCCAGCTCCACCGGGCATGCACATGTGCCTCCCACTGGCCAGTTTGTCTTTGGATCTCTGCCGTGCATGTGCGGGGAGCAGGGTGCATGATCGGCAGGTTCTCACATTGCATTTGGGGGTTCATACGCATGCACGCTCCCCCACACCCCATTTTGGGCCTGGAAAGCCTCCTTCACCAATCTGGAAGCCAAAATTGGGTGAGGGGGGACAGGGCGCATGCAGAAGAACGCATGCAAGCATGAGGTTGGGGCACATGCACAGGGGGCGCTTGCATTGCATTTTGGGGTTTCACATGTGCGCGTGCGTGCTTTGGGCACTCGGCACCAAAAAGGTTAACCATCACTGTCCTAGAATGATTCATGACATCTTCTGGATTTGACCCTGGACTTTGCTAAGTCCAGTAGATACAGTACAATTATCCCTAGTAAAAAAAAAATAATAGGAGAACATTGTTCACATATTGCTTGCTGATGATTTATAGAAAAAGCAGAGGTGACTGGGTTCAAACAGCTAAACCAGAAGTCATGGTTTACAAACAGATTTCATGTACTGGGCTAAGGCACAAATTTGGAGGAAAAATCACATTATAGCTTAGTAATTTGAGAAGCCAGTCTGTGTCTGATTTTGACATAAACAGCTGTTGGAGCTTAAATGGACCACGGACCTAGAAGCCCTGCTCTGGTTTGATGTCATCTGGTTTTATCTATATAAATATTAGAGAAGAGCCACAATAATTTTGCATTGGCCTCTTTGTTATGAAATAGACTGCTGAGTATATTGCAGGATGTGTTACATTGTTCGCCTTCCTCTAAGTGAACGTAAGGCTGAAACTGTAAGGGAGAATCATTTTTTAAATTTTCAATGTTAGTTGGAGATAAAAGGAGATAAATGCCCTATGCAGGGATACCAATGTTTATGCTGGTATCTCAGTGTTTTATTATTGATGTGTATCTAATGCTAAAACTTATTTATTTGCTTTGAAAGGCTTAACCCACCCATTTTCCCCTGTACTCAGTGAGTTTAAAAAAGGGATTTGAGGGGCACTTCCATGTAGCCTGTCAGTTCTCCTTGGACATAGTAGCACCATGGTTTATTCGAATCTGGCTTAATGTTTTATGTAAATTCAGCTTCTAGATGTGTGCACCATAGTTTATGGTTATGTTGTAAGAACCCAGCTAGTTATTTCCTATTCAGCAAACTATAGTTAGGACAAAGCCAACTATGTCTTAGTGGAACATGTAAATGCCAAGCTTTATATTAAATTATTTTTTTTCTGCCACACAGGTTGATAATTATGATGACTGTTGTGTTTAATTAGCTATTTTATTTGCATTATGTAGTTCAATTGGATTCTAAAGGTGGCATATATTCAAATGTTCTAAACTACGTAAGTAATCATCAGAATTATTCCAATTACAGACAAACAAAAACAAAAACCTGTAAATGAAATAACAAATGAGCTAGCTAAACCAAAGACCTCATTTTGTTGAGTCAACTGCTTGTTGAATACCGTAGTAAGGATAATGTTGTTTTCATGGTTTTATAGTTAGGGTTTTGTTTTTTTTTAGTTTTATAATTCAATTGCCAAAATTAATTCAATGTTTTAAAAAGAAGGTGGAAGAGATTTGCACAAACGAAGACAGAATGGCAGACTTCTCAATCAAATTTTTCTATAACAGTCCAAACTACATGTTTTAATTAAACTTGCTTACAATTATAACACAGGTTTAAGCATAAGGATCTTGCAACAAAGATGGAGGAGCATTACATTTAAAAATATATATTTAAACTCATTTTTAAAAAAGTATTGTGAAATGTTGCACAATTGAAAGAGGAAACCAATGGACTAACAACAAAATTTAGAGTAGGTTCCTCAATCACTGACTGCATTTAATCTTCTGGCTTTACATTCTGTTGTTCAAATAACTGTGGATAAATGCTATAAATGGATGTTTCTCTCTGGTTGATTTTGTGCCCTAATCATGGTTATGTATGTTTTTACATACATCTTAAGTGGAGCATTATAGTTTAACATAATCAGCTTAAGAAGTTCATGTAATGAATTAGTATTTGATATTGATCTTATTCCAGTCATGTCAGAAACATCAGGTTAGAGTTCTCCAATAAGAATACAAGGAAGGACTCATAATATAAACTGTGTTTAGAGTAGGAAGAGATGTTCAAGGAAGATATCTGTAGATAGTGGTCCTCATTGTGGGCTTTGTAAAACTTGATTTATCATTACATCATGGACAAATATTCCAAATGATGCCATTCATTCAAAAGTTCTTTGACTTGTGTGCATAAAGTTGAATTACTTATGGAGGCTGTACCATATGTAAATAGATGTCATTTTTTAAAATTCCCATTGTTTTAATATGTAATAAAATAAATGACAAAATAATATTTCAACTTTCTCTAGAATTCTTGGTATGCATTATAATAAACAAAGCAACATTGAGTAATATTGTGTGCTCAAATCCCAGTATTTCCAAATCATGTACATGGTTAACATCGATAAACTGATTTTATGGAAAAAGAAAGAAAAGAAAAGAGCAGCCATTTATGGAAAGAGGTCATTTCTAAGAGATGATTTTTTCTAAAAGATTTTAAATGAAAGATGCATCTGGAAGATGGATAGATGAATGAAAAAGGGGGAACCTAAGCTATATTGAAGTTTAAGGGAGAAAATCTACAAGGCAAATTATTCCCTGGTATTAATTTTATAGAGCACAGCTCAGAAACAGATTCTCCTACATGTGAAATTAATGGGATATACAGAAGAACACTAAAAAGAAATTCACTCCAGGGCCTAAGGTGCTATATGAGGAAACCTGAGTTCTAGCCCTGCTCAAGGCACAAGGTCATGTTACGATGGCCTTAGACATCCACTTTCTCTCAGCCCTAGTAAATCATTTTCAAATAATGTTGCATTGAAAACTGCATGGACTGGACCCAGGAGCCGAGACTGATTTAAAGGCTAAAAAAATAGTAAGAGCACTGCCTAACCTTTGCCATGTAATATTTCAGCTTCACATTGATTCATCATGGAGGAACCTCCTTTTGGAACATATATAAATGTGTGAGAATGAGGGATAACATCCAGAAGAATATGCCAAGGAGGATAAGAAAAACAAGGAAGGTATGTGAAGTTTAAAAGACTGCAATAATTTCAGATCTTTTTCTCTCTGATTCTCTCATCTCTCTATTAAAATTAAACCTAGGTGTATCTGTCTGAGACTTACACAGAGGTGGCAACAGAAGAGGATAAGGGTGAGGAACTCTCAATAGTCTAGCAATCATGGCCAATGATGGAAAAATACTGTGAAATGTACTTCAGCAAATTCTGAATAGAGATAATGTAGATGTGTATGCCTAAGCAAAATAAAACCAAAATGATGAAACATACATTGTGGCATCATAATGTAACCTGTGTCCCATCACACTTTCAATGCAAGGTTGCCTAGGTATATAAAAGGTAGAGGTTTAATCATGACATCGCAATGCACATTTTGTCACTTGCTTCCTTTGTTCCTTGTGAATGCCTATGTGGAGAGAGTCTCCTCCCCTGAAATAAAGGATGGGTATGAAAATGCACAGGGATGCTGTACGTAGTTTGCATTTATCCAACATAAGTCACCTACAGATATACATCTATTTTCCCCCACACATATAGCTATCCCTTAAGGAGAATGGCCACAAGTCATTGTTTTTAAGTGATCGGTGATGGCTTCCATATTTTTGTGCTTGGAGATCTTAATTTTTGGTTATTACCAGCAAGGATTTTTAGGCTGAAGCAGTTCACACATGGGCCAGGTATTCCATGAATACCTGGCACATGGCATATGAGTCAGGATGTAGTTGTATTTTAATTCATGGAAAGCACCATGGGAAAGATTTTCCTTCAGTGTCATTGAATCAACATCTGAATCAATTTCTGAATGAATAAATATACAGTGAGTTGCGGTTGAGTCAACACACTATCCCTGATCTAGTTTTCTCCATTAGCCTTCTCAACTTAGTGTCCACCAGATATCTTGGAGCAACTCTGAGAGTTGTAGTCCCAGAACATCTGGAGGAAATCAGGATAGAGAAGACTAAATTGCACACTATTCTTTAATCACCTCAGGACTCAAGCAGACTCAATGGGAGTTGTTTCATGTAGTTAAAATCAGATCACTTAGATTCTTGTAGCAAGAATGGGTGAGGTTCACTTTTAACTGCAAACTTTGGCTTGTAGATGTAAACAGCAAGGCTCCCGCCATTCCTATAGGTGTTGTGCTCCCCCTGCCAAAAAAACACCTCAGGAAAGGGAGAGAACAATAATTGTTGGGAAGAAATGCAGAGCAAAGATTCTTCTTCCTCCCTCTCTTGAGTGCTCCTTATGATTTTTAAACACCCTCGTTTCATTGTGAAGAAACAAATCTGACACAACTGGGCCTGCAGATAGTGCTCTCTCCAATTGTTGATAGTCAGTCCACACATTCAGTTGTCTGTCATGTAGTGTGTTATGATTGCAGATAAAGAAATTGTAATGCCACTATATAAATAAGTAATGCCGGCATGAATTTGTTCCTTTCTTGTAAGAAGTAGTGTCAGTGAGGAGCGATAAGGGGTGGAGGGAGTAGAAGGTTTCGCCTATCGTGAACAGCTAACTTAATGCCCTGCTCTTTTATAAGGCTGTAGAGAAGGGCACTCTGCCCACGTGCAGAATCACCCTGTTTTGATCATTTGGGTATAGGCTAGCTGTAGCCTATCTCCAAGGGAATATCTCTCCAGTTTACTTATACTGTACTTCGAAGCATGCCAACTTAGTATTCACTTCCTTTAGAACAATCAACCTGAAGAAAGCTGAGCATGGTAAATTCTTGCCACGTTCCTTGCCTGCTGGATCTCGGGCAGGGTGGGGGAGAAGCAAGGGGAAAGATGTGCTATTATTGTTAGCGTTTGACTGGGTC